TATATGTATAGGTATATTAGGGCGATCCTTAATATGGACATTTTCGAATTTCCTTTCTCCCAAGGGCTCAAATGGTTCTAAATTGAATAAAAACAATTATCAGAAAGTTTTAGCTCTTAATATTGTCTTTTCGATAGAGCGCAATTCCATCAAAGTTTTGTATGGAAATAGCATGAAAAAATTTTCAAAATTTCACAGAGCGTCAATTTTCAATAAAAAATGACACATATTTTTATGCACTTTTAATTCATTTGTCGCTAAGTTATACCTAAAAATTTTTTTTTTCAATTTTCAACATTTTTTCCATGCTATTTCCAAACAAAGTTTTGATTGAATTGCGCACTATCTAACGTTAATATTGAGAGCTAAAACTTTCAGAGAATTTTTTTTTATCAATTTGGAAGCAATTGATCCCTTGGGAGCAAAGGAATTCGATAATATCCATATTATGGACCACCTTAATATATATAATTAATAATTAGAAATTAGTTAAAAAAAGTATGAAAAAAAATATAAGAAAACTTAATATATGCTACTAAATTAGTTGTGATGTTATTAATATAGTTAATAATTAAAATATAATAAAAAAGTAAGTAAAAATTTATAGTAGTTCATCTTTCAGATTTTTATCTTTTGCGTAAAAAATTCAGAAGTTTATTAAAATGGCCATTAATTTTGATAAATTGGTAATAAATATTGATTAGAGTACTAGTATTAGTTTTATTGAACTAGTAAAAATATTAGTTTTACTTATCAAAATTTTAGAAATTAAGATCAATTTTTTTTAATTTGAAAGTTTTAAAAAAATTGGCTATAAGGATCTAAATTCTAGATCTGCATTATTAATGCTAGTAAATTTTATTAATTAGTGAGAAAGAGTAATTGTAATAATTTTAATAAATTAATATGAAACATTTTAGATATTGACGTAATTTATAAAATGCATTTTGTGTATATTAGACTTTTTAACCAACCACCGAAACTACGTGTTTTATGAGCTGCGTTTGCTTTTTGATACTTTTTTAGAGAGCAACCCATTGGTCAACCACTTTTCTTTTTTGCTGAATAACTCGTTCGTATCACAACTCAGTAACTACATATTACTAATTCTAAATTAATTACATATTACTAATTCTAAATTATTAAAATTGTGAGATTTTAGAAATAGAGGTAAATAAAGAGGTATATTTCGTTAGTGTTAGAATTTGTTTCATATCTTTAACAGATTATAAGGAATTATTTAGGAGTTAGATTGTAAAGAATATATGTCTTACCTGTGCTTTATACAATTCGCTCATGTACCAAACTTTTAAAGGATCTGGTTTTTCTACTCTTAAATGTTGAGCCATTTGTTGCATAGGATTCATGCAAGCACTTACTTTGTCCAGATTTTGTCCATTTCCGAAATAGTTCTTAATTTGTAATAAATATGCTGGACATATCTCTTTTTTGTAATAAAACTTCAACTAAAAAAATCATCCAAGCATTACTTGAAATTAAATTAAATTGGCACGTAGTACAATTTTTTTTACAAAACTTACGAAAAATTCTTTTTCTGCATTCAGAGTTCTATTAAGATATTTATAAGTAGCCCATCGTCTTCTGAGAACATCTCTCTTATCCTGCAAAGAAAATTCAATCATTTCATTTCCTATTTTATAAAATGTATTAACATATATGTATATTAGGGTGGTCCTTAATATGGACATTTTCAAATTTCCTTGCTTCCAAGGGCTCAAATGGTTCTACATTGATAAAAAAACAATTTTCTGAAAGTTTTAGCTCTTAAAATTAACTTTAGATAGTGCGCAATTCAATCAAACTTCGTATGGAAAGAGCATGGAAAAATTTTTGAAAATTAAAGAAAAAATTTAGATAAAACTTAGTGGCAAATTTTGATTAAAACTCATTCATTTGTTCGCTAAATTATATCTAAAAACATTTTTAAAATTTTTGAAAAATTTTTCATGCTATTTTCATACAAAACTTTGATTGAATTGCGCTCTATCTAAACGTTAATATTAAGAGCTAAAACTTTCAGAAAATTGTTTTTTATCAATTTGGAACCATTTGAGCCCTTGGGAGCAAGGAAATTTGAAAATGTTCATATTAAGGACCACTTTAATGTATATATTTATGAAATTAAAATATTTACATATCCCAACAATCCTCGAAGAACAATTTGTGCACTTATCAAAGATCTTTTATATTTCGTCGATTCCATTTGGATGTCATCTCTGTATAACCAGGATCGTTTATACAATTTTTTGGCATATCTTTTTCTTAATTTTTCTCCCAAATTGTACATTGTGCTTTTTCCTAGCTGAATTGAGAAAGTATCAATAAAATAATTAATGAAAATTTAATAATTATATCGATAAAATTAAGTTTAAAAATGTGTTCTTACAGTAGTAAGTTGTCCTCTTCCATAAGGACTAAAAGTATCATTTATGTATTCATATTTTGGAAATTCTTGCATTTGTTCCGGATCTGGTGTTCTTTCACCATGTCTGAACATCTAAATGAAAAATATTGATAAATATTAAATATCAGTGATTTTAGTACCAAAAAGAGAAATTTAGTGGAAAATACTAAGTTAGATAAAATTTTAGTTAAGCCTTTTTGATAAACTTAGTATATCATTGTAAATACGCAAACAATACCATAACTCAATTTTAAATATGAAAACGATATTTTTTCAATAAATTTTGAATGATAAAAATGCAAAATTTAGTACCAGTGTTCATGCTTTATTATTAAGAAATTGTAAAGAAAATTCTCAATGAAAGTCACCTTAATTTTAAATATGAAAACGACATATTTTCAATTAATTATAAGGAAAGTTGAATGATTAAGATGCAATATTTAGTATCAATTTTTATTCTTTTATTAAGAAATTGTAAAGAAAATTATTTTATTAAATTAATGTCGACATTAATGGTTCTACGTATTATAATATGTATTTCATTATGTCATAACTAAAATTAGTATTTAGTCTTCTACATTTTTCTTGTTCTAATCTCGTAAAATTCTATTCTGGCAATATTTTATATTATAGTTACAAGTTGCAACAATATTGTTATGTGACCATTTTTAATACTAAAATAATATCATTTCCTAAAATAATATTAACGCCACTAAAAATTTGATACAAATTTTATATTTTTTTTATTTTACCCCAGTCACTAGCACTAATTTTGAAGCTGGTTTCCAGCATTGTTTTTCGGTTAAAACTTCTGGAGAAATATAAATTAATATTAATGAAATTAAAAAAATAAATTTCATTTTTGTATGTTATTAAAATCTAACTCTCATGGAAACTGTGAATATAATATAACTACGTTGAAATTATTATATGATTTACCTAATTATAACTTTATTGCGTCGATATTCAAACAAAACAAATAGTTGCATAACTATGTTGCGAAATAATAAAATTCAATTTAGTGTATCTCGTATTGTTTATTAATATTTATACAAAAACGAGTTTATATAAAAATAGTATAAAAATATTTATGTAATTCTTACTATTTTTATAATTATCTTGATAATTTTAATATTTTACTATAAAAATAATGCATTTTTATATGAACTAAATTAATAATAATTACTTCAATTTAATTATTTTGCAAAGTTATTATTTCCTATTGGCATTTTGCAATTAGTGAGTTCTTCCTTTCCAATTCTTATGTCTTTCACAAGATTTTTGTATTTATCAAGAGAACAACAACTTGTATCACCGCAACCTTTTACTATCAATTCTGATTCTTCGCCTTTATTCCAGTATGATATCTGAAAGAAAACAAATGTAAATATTTATTTTAATTAAGCGATTGTTTTATTTCATGAGATTGAAACGATTTTTTCTAATATACTTAAGAAATATACATAATACTATTTTTGAAAAAATTGCGGTGTTTTTTATACCTTAATATTTTATATATTGGAAAAAATTATATACTATCCAACAACAATAGACATCAAGGTTAAAAGAACTACTTACTACTAAATGTAGTACTAATTCAAATACTAATACAAAAGAACCATTGAAGAAATGAAGAACCATTATGATGATCTTAAAGCCTTTACCTTTATAAAGTGATTTCCATCCTTTCCTTGGTGGAGTTCTGTTACGATAGTAGCACCATAAGATGGTATATTAACAGTGAAATCTTTTCCATCTTTTGTAAATCCTTGAGAACCACCTAAAGCCGCCAATGCTGGTGCAACTGTGGTATCATGTCCAGAAAAGAGTCGCAACAGTTTTTCTTTATTGGTATTTTTCTCATTTATAAATCTGTCGAACTCTTTCACATCATATCCACATATATTCCTGGATAAGAAAATAATTTCAACGGGTCATTATGTTTTTGATGAATATAATTCGTACCTCCTGATAATTTTTTAGTTCATCAGCGCCAAAAGCAATGTTAAAAATGTCTGGATGCATTTTTCCATTGTATCAAACATATTCTGATCTGCCCAAGGTGGAAGAGTAACATTGGTACATTTCTAAAGTATGAGAGAAAATTTAAAAAGCATACTCAATTCTAGTTCTGAATTGATATTGTCGTTTCAGTAATACTTTAGGAGTATCAAACATAAATTAATTTATTCAACATATTAATAATTATTTTTGAAATGCTACTTCAAAATTTTAAATATGGCTTGAATGTAACAAGAACTTTTCAATTTGCATATAATTTAAGCATACCTGTGCAGTATATAGTTCATACATGTACCACACCAACAGCGGATTATGTGGATCTTTTACTCCTAGCTTTCCTCCCATTATTTCCATTGGTTTTTGACAACTAGCCAAGTTTCTCTGTTTGGTTTTCGCACTTGTTTGTACAAGCCTCATATACTCTGGACAATCCTTATTATAATAATTTTTATACTAAATATGAAAAAATATCACATAGATAAAGATATAAATTAATATACAAATTATTATCAACTTATCAGCATGTGATCGTACCAACTTCTCTTTTTCCTCACTTAAAGTTTTATTTAAATATTTGATGTTGCCCCATTCAAATGTCTTTGGATCTCTGTTCTGTAAATAATAAAAATTTAATCTCCCAGTGCCATATGTTTTTTTAATTTTTTTTTTAACTGTACTTCGCCAAGTAAAGCATTTAGAACGATCTGAGCACTGATCAAACATCGTCTATATTTCGTAGACTCCATTCTAACTTTGTTTCTTGTAACGCAATCTTTGCCATATAATTTATCAGCATATTTGTTTTTGAGCTTCAGACCAAGTTCATGCATAGTTTGTTTGCCTTTCTGAAAGTAAAAGCCTGAATTAATGCATAAATCTAATGCATAAATATTTTTAATAATTTCATTTTGACAAATTTTCCAATCAATAAGCAGAAACGTTTTGCCTGTTATCTTTACCAAGAGTCTTAAAAAGTACATCTGCTTATAGAAATTGAATTTCATGTTTTTTATGTAGAATCTTAGTTTTACTCTCGTTCAAGTGAATATTTTATTTAAAGCAGAAGTGATATCGATAACTTCTACTTATTGTCATTGATTTTTTATATTTTCTCTATGTTTTAGATGTCCATTAGTAAAAAAAAATATTATGATATAGTAATATAACTGGATCAAGTTAAATTGTGTGTCAAAATTATACTTCAATCATTTCATTTTATTGTATAAAATATAAACCAAATAATCATTTAAAATACAAAAATCGTATAACAACTTTGAAACTATCAGTAAATTTACTTACATCCGTGAGTTGTCCTAGTCCAGGAGGATCAAATAGATTTGTTTTCTGTTCATACTTTGGGAACTTTTCATTTGTTCAGGTTCTGGTGTTCTCTCACCATGTCTAAACATCTATAAAAATAAATAAAATTACTTCCTAAAACACATTCATAAATATCATGATGAATATTTATGATCCTATGATAAGTTTATAAATACCGCTGAAACGAGTAATAATTTTGACCCTTTATCACATGGTGTTTGGGCTGACAACCTTTGGACTAAAACAATTAAAACTAATACTTTAAACTTCATTTTCAATTAATTTTGCTATTAATAATAAATGAAATGACTTAATTAAAAAGTTGTAATTTGAGGTCAGTAAGGCTCTTTATAATATTTTTGCAATTGCTATTTCATAATCCCAAAAAACATAAATATTATGATCAACATTTTGAGAACTTTGCCAATGTATTGTGTTTTAATATATGCGTTTAAAATTGCAGGGGTGTAAAAGTTGAAGAGATAGATGATTTAATTGATGAGAAATTATGTTTATTAATATCATATTTTATTTGATTTGATAGAACCCAATTGAATCAACAATTCGATTTAATTATTGTATTTTTTCCTTATGGATATTTAATTTTTATTAAATCATTTTTATCTTACCTTAATTTATCGTATCTTTGTTGCATCTGTTTTTAAACTTCTATCAGAAATAAACTTATCTATTATACCTATATAATATTTAATTTGGATAATAACAATTAAGATAAGCCTCAATAAAAAGTGGGATTTTCTTTCAACTTCTAAAAATCAATTTAAAATAAAATTAATAATAGCTGAAAATACATTTACGAGTATTTTCAATCTTTGAGAAATTTTTATGCTCTTTATGAATTTTCAAAATAAATTTTTACGATTTAAGGAAAGTTGGGAGAAGGCCAGTAAAATTAATATTATTAATAATTTTAATAGTCAAAAAAAGCTTGAAAAGTTAAGTAACATTACATATAGAAGAATTCTACATATGGAAGAATTTCATTAATCTGGCACTTCGTTAGAACGACGCTTCCAGTAATCCGACATCCTCGCGTCCGAACCGATAGCCATTTTTTTTTGAAATTTTTGGAAATTTTAACGTTACTTTCGAATATAATATGTTAAAGATTTTGACTGTAGAGTTCATATCTTTAGAACTCAGTTGTCAAAATGATGTATTTAATTGTATGATTTTTTCATGTATTTACGATATTTGATACATTTCTGAATATTACTATAAAATAATTATAATTGAATATATAATGATAATATAAAATTATTATAAGTTTCTGTAAATTTGCATAATTATTATTAAGGATTGTTGAATAGTGATATATACTACAATTACCTAACTTGTTTGTAAAAATAAAATAATCAGTTTCTCCATTTTTATACATATGTGCTTACAATATATTATAGACAAGAATAGAATTTATTATATTTATAATAATATAATACTTTTATTTTTTTAGGTGTTCATGAAACCCAGTACACAGAACAGCAACTCTTAGACCAATTGGAGGCTTGCGCCGAGAGCTTAGAGCTTTCGGAAAGGTACGAGCTTTTGGGTAGCTTATATCGTCTCATACTGCCAATTCATGAACGTAGAAGGGACTACGAGGCTTTGGCCGCCTGCTACGGCCGATTGAGAGAGGCCTGTCTACGCGTAGCCGAAGTCGCCAGGACGGGGAAAAGATTACTAGGTAGGAGGATATATATAAATATATATATATATATATATATATATATATATACTAGCAAACCCGACGAACTCCGTTTCGCCACCAGATGGTTTCGTGAGAAAGATGAAGAAATTTTTTGTTTGTTCTATATTTGAAAAGGAAAAATTTGATTTTATTGCGCAACAGTAATGAATTTATTTCGATTACAAAAAGAAGTGTTTTTTAGTTAAACGTCTCTAAGTAAATGAAAGTGAATCCGCAAATTATCCGTTTCATTGAAGTGCTCTTTGGTAAACCGCATTTTTTGTTTTTTGGTCTGACATTAACACAAACAAAGCGGATGGTTTCCCAACTCGTGAACAGGCAACGTATAACTGCCCAAGTAAAAAACAATGATTTTCTAAATAATCTATTCGAAATTTATCCCGCAAACACTAAGCTATTGGCCTTGCGACTTGTTATTGCGAACGCAAGGCGAACTGGAAATTGCAATCATTTGAAGTCAAACAGAAGACCAGTCGGAATCATTGGTATGTCACCAAATCGCCAGCAATTTTTGATTGAATGGTGAAATTCAGTGCGTGTACATCATTATTCTTTGCGACAAGAATTGCTCGTTGACTTAACCAAGCATAATTCTGATAATTCTCACTAATGTCACTACTCTAATTTTTAATTACGGTGCGTGAAGTTCCAGCAATTTGCATTAGGGCACGATGCCATGCACCATTAATTTTCTTAGCTATGAGCCCGAGACCTTATACATACATACATATATATATATATATATATATATATATATATATTTAATTTGAGTTTAATATTCGGGCGTAACATCAATAAAAATAATATTTTTATTTTTATTGATGTTACGCCCGAATATTAAACTCAAATTAAACATATATATCAACATCAAATTCAAGAATATTCAAAATATATATATATATATATATATCTCCCTTCCGCTTTTTTGCTCTTGGTTTATAATACAAAAACGCGGAAGGGAGATATTTGACAACCTATTATATATAATGAAAATTTTTTATTAAACGTTTCGAAACTTAATGTGTGTCATCATTCAGTGATCTAAAAAAACATATTACAAAAATAAATTAAAAAAAATCAAATTGTTATTTATGTAATATGTTTTCTTTAGGTTACTGAATGATGACACACATTAAGTGTCAAAACGTTCAATAGAATAAAGAATTTTTCTATTTTAACCTCTTTTTCAATTCTGGGCTGCTAAATACTTTAAATATGCATCAATGTCGACAAAAATCGGCCAATATCTACTTTTCATATACCTAAGTGGTAAGGTTTGGCAACCCTTAAGATTTTTTTAAATTTATGATCAATTTCAATTATTTTACTTGTTGTAACTAAAGAACACTTTCAGATCTAAATTTTCACCTTCTTACCACAAACCCTAATTCGTATTAGTTATTTTAGTAATCGAATAATTTTTCATCCCTCTTTCAGTCAATAAATATTTCTCACTGAATTTCAATTATATTTTTCTTAAATATAGCTCGAATGAAAAAGCCAAGTTAACTTTGAAAAAAAAAAAATTTTTTTATTATGGTTTGTTTATTCTTAACATATTTGTCCTTAATTTTGGTACAATTTTTTGTTTTATTTTTTTGTAATGTATAATTTAAAAACTCATTTATTTACAACATTTAATTTTTGCAACATGTTCCAATCGCCTGTTCAACACACACCTAGATTATTTTTAGTTGTTTTTTTCAAATGCAACTTCATTTTGTAGCAATATTTGGCAAAAACACTTGTTTTTGTTGCAAAATTTGTATACAATTTGGAAAGTGGCGAAATCATTTATTCGCATTTCATCAATTTTACAAAATAATGGTTAAAAGTTGTTGTTCATTTATTTTCATAAAATAGTATCTAAAATAACAAGGATATTTATTTTTATTTTCATTTCTAAAAACTACTATCTACATTTCCTGATAAATATATTAGTTTATGGGGTTCTTTTTGTACTAAAATTTATACATGGTTAGATTTTTAAAATTTTGAAAATATGAGTATACTTTTTTAAACCTTATAATTTATATAAATATTTTTTATTTATTTATTCAATTTTCAACCTTATTACCTATTTTCATATATTTAAACAGTAACTTTCATATAAAAGAATAAATAAAACAAAAAATATAAAAAAATGCAAAGAAATATTCCCAATCCTAAATTAAATCATTATTCATTCAAAATTAAAATATATTTTTATAAAATTAATTTTAACAATATTTTTGCAACTGTACCTCTTTTTGACACTAAAATTAACAAACATAATACTGAATTCAAATAATACTACTAAAAATGCATAAAATAAAAAATATGATTCACATATAAATGAATACTATATTTATATATAAGCTCTTTAATTTGAATATAAATTAATAATAAATTTTATACGTATATATATACTTATTTTTAAATGAATAACCAGAAAAAATAATGCAAAGAAATATAAGGTAGAAATTGTTTCAAATCCTAAACAAATAGTATTTTCATTGATAATTAAGAAGTTTAATATAAACAAATAATTTTATGCATACTGTACTTCATTTTGACACTAAAATACTATTTTTATTATAAAATGAAATATATAATTTGCATATAAATAAGCACTAAATTCATATATTTATTTTAAACCAGTAGTAGTTTTATTCTTAAAAAATTAAAAATCATTTTTTTAAATAATTTTGCTCAAACTTTGTGTTTCGGATTTTCTGGTTTTATATGTAAATATAAATTAATAATAAATATTTATAAATATATAGCCCTTTATATATAAATGAATAACCAATAGAAAAAAACAATAATTGATAAAATAATGAAAAAAAATATATAGCAGAAATTGTTTCAAATTCTAAGTAAATAGTAGTTTTAAATTGTTCTAAAATAATTTTTGCTTAATAAATTTTAAACGTAATGTTCTAGTATTAAATTGTTTAAAATAAAGTTTTGTGATTTATATTTTCTGAATGATGACACACGTGAAGTGTCGAAATGTATAAATACAGATTAGTTAATAAATTAATACTAATTTTAATTCGACGAATTTGCTGATAATTATATTGAAAAAACATTTGAAATAGGAACTTTAATTTTTATATTCGGGCTATCTATCTTTATCTCTTTGTCTCTATTCTATTTTTTTATTATTAACAACAAATCCATATATGAATAAATACAAATTTATATATAAATTAATAATATTGCAAAGAAAGAAATAAATGGTAGAAAGTTTTTCAAGCTTCAAATTAAAATATTCTTGGGTGTCTGTCCTAGATATAGCATGATAAATTAATACAGTTTTATTATAATTTATTACAGGTCGATACTATAGAGTGGCTTTCTTTGGCAGAGCCTATTTTGAGGAAGAAGATGGTGTCGAATATGTTTATAAGGAACCAAAACTTACTGGTTTAGGAGAAATCACCGAAAGGCTGCACAAACTCTATTCTGATAAATTCGGAGTCGAAGTCGTAAGGATGGTCAACGATTCTTCACAGGTTGGGAAATAATTATATCTTCTCTATTTATCCAAATGAAATAGAAACATTTCTGAAGCCATTTTTGTTTACATAAAATTTATTGAACACTAACTTGTGTAAAAGAATATCATAACTAATATAATTAATGAAAAAAAATTTAAAAGAGCACATATTGCTCTCCTATATGTATGATGTTCAATCGCTGTGCATTGTAACACAACTGATCAAGGTTACACATCTTACTGCAAGGTCACTTTTATTTTATCCAAAATACTACTATAGTTACATGTTTTATTAACTTCCCGAAGGAGAAGTTTATGTTTTCATCAAAAAATCCGATTCGCTAATTTTATGTTTTCTCGACGTTTCAAGCCATTCTGAATCGAATGAGACCAAATTTGGAAAAAGTATGTGTGTGTGTGTGTGTGTGTGTGTGTGTGTGTGCGTGTGCACCAACAGATTTTTTGCCGTAAAACGCCGTTTTCTCAAAAACGGCTGGACCGATTTCAAAAATTTAAAAGCCATTCGATGTATCTCGATGAGGTCTATCGTTTCTGAGCGACGATCGGCCGAACCGTTTCTTTGTAAATTGCAGAAAAGTGAAAAATTTTTCGTCTACGTTTTAGCCCGCAATTCTGAATCGATTTTGAAAATCCAAAAACCGTTCGAAAGATATTGGTTGAGAATGGTACTGATTAGTTTTAGGTGAAAATCTACCGAGTCGTTTTCTTGTAATAAAGTTAGTTTTTGGAGAAGATCGGCCGGGCAGTTTTCTTGTAATAAAGTGTTAAAACATTTTTTTTCGACGATTTTTATCATTATTTTTGTGACGGTAGATACCATAGTCTTCTAGATCATACTAAAATATTACGGCCCTACGACAACTCGTTTAGCTTTAAAAATTCGTCAAAGTTTGCAAAAATTAGTATCGTTTTTTGGCATTTGCCAAAATTAGACCTTTCATCGACGATTGCTCAAAAACGCCTGAACCTATTTCAGAAATTTAAAAACCATTTGAGTCCCTCAATGAGGACTATCGCTTGTCACTTTCGTGCGACGATCGGCCGAGCCGTTTCTTTGAAATTTGAAAAAAAGGGTTAAACTTTTCGTTCACATTTAAGCTCATTCTACCGAACGGATTTAAAAAAATCAAACACTGTTCGAAAGATATTAGTTGGGAATGGTACTGATTAGTTTTAGGTGAAAATCTACCGAGCCGTTTTCTTGTAATTAACTGTTGAAAAAAAAATTAAGACGATTTTTATGGAACTTTTTTTGGCGTGGATATCATGGTCTTACGACTGAATTATTACGGCCTTACGACAAGTAGTTTAATTTTAAAAATTCATCAAAATTTGAGGAAATGAGTAGTTGTTTTGACGTTTGTTAATATTTCAATGAGAGGATTTACTTGGTATAACGATAGTACTACTTGGTCTTAATGAACATACCTACCATTAAAGTCCTACGGAGACTGGTTCAATTATAAAAAATTGTTGATTTGTGAAAATTTTTTTTTAGAAAATACTTCCAAGTTAACGTGTTCGTTCGTTTTCAATTATGTGTAATAAATCCACTCGGAATACTTTTAATCACTCATAAATTAATTTATTTTTTATTGATTAAGTCGATTATTTACACATATCGGGAACTTCATGTAACTTGCCTCAAGGCTAAATACCAAACCAACTAGTTTTATATGGCAACATGGAGATAGTTTGAGTCCAATCTCTGCTGGCTCGATATCAAGATGTATGATATCAAATTTTTACTTGAAGCTGCAGATAAGTCTTAAATATAGTCTCCTGTAAAAATCGAATTTTGTGTCAATTTCTGCATATCAGAAATGTGACTTCAGAAAATACTAATAAGTATAGTCATGATGTATTGGACATTAACTACTTGCCTTAGACAACTACTATTTGCGTTTTATTATATAAAACAAAATTATTATTCATAATTTAATAACAAGATATATTCATTACCAAAATTTATACAAGTTTGTTATGAGATTAAATTTTATTCATTTATATTGATTATTTCTATTTAGGTGGATGAATCTTCATTAGACTCTCGACTGGCCTACATCCAGGTGACCCATTTGACTCCTCATTGGGAACCAGGACAATTACCAGAACATTATAGCGAATTTGAAGTTAACCATGATGTAAAAACCTTCATGTACGAAGCTCCTTTCACCAGAGATGGCAGGACGAGAGGATCTCCCATGGATCAGTGGAAGAGGAGGACCATACTCACAAGTAAAAAATAAATTTTAATATATACAAACTAGTTAATTTCATTTCAAATTAAATAATGAAAAATGTAAAGTTTCTACGTGATTTTCAAATAATATCTCACCTTTCCCACAATCTCTGGAGTAGCACGAATTTTTCAAGACTAAAACTGGCCAAATCAGTTCAGTCGGTTTTGAGTTTTAGCGAATCTAACATAATATTGAGCTCTATTTATATATATATATATATATATATATATATAAGATATATATTTGAAGTATTTTGTAGCCCAATCGTCGAATTAAAAAAAGATTAAAATAGAAAAAAAAAATTATTCCATTAAACGTTTCGACACTTAATGTATGTCATCAATCAGTAATTTAATAAAACATATTGCATAAATAACAACAGTTGATATTAAATATATAAATATAACAAGGTAGAAAATTATATACATACCAAACCAGGAAAAACACAAAAATAAATTATATAAAATTTATTGAACACTAAACTTGTGTAAAAAAATATCATAACTAATATAATTAATAGAAGAGAAATTAAAGGAGCACATATTAACTGATATAACTGATCATTTATCGGTTTATAGAATCAATATATTATATAAATATATTTTGTATGATTCTGAATTTGATGTTGACATATGTATTAACAAAGTCTAGTAATCGGGCATAACATCAATAAAAAACATGAATTTCTTTCAAAAATTTATTTTAAATCCATACGTTTCGGCTATAATCCTAGCCTTCATTCAGTGGAAACTAAAAATGAAATTAAAAACTAAAACATTTGAATTGGAGTGAAAAGAAAAAATAAAATAGCAATTAGTACTTACAATTAGTAGATCTTAGTGTTGAATTGGAAAATTTTAATAATCCATGGTATCAGGATATCGTAATGCACTACACTATAAACATTAAACTTTTTTATATTAAACATTATATTAAACATTATTAAACTAATAATTTAACTAATAAATATTTTCACAAAATACTAATTTAAAAAATCACAATTGGATAGTTTGTTGTTCGTAGACTGATTGAAGAAATAATGAAGAAAAGATTTTATAAAAAATATTTTTTACCAAGATTCTACACATGTGTGGAACGAATTGCGAATCCTTTGCGCGTCGTTTTTATTGTTTTGTGAGAAATTTGGAAATACTATCTAAATAAAAGAGATTTGTGTCGCACAGCGTGTTAAGTTCATTCCGTTTATTTATTGTTGTTAAAATAGTTAAAACAGATTCTCCTATAATTCTTCGTTTGAATAAATTTTGTTCGAATTGTAGTACAGTCGGGTAAAAAAGTCCATATTGTGTTTTAAAGTATAAATATGCTCCGCAATCATAGTTTTAAACTGTCTCGGATTTTTTGAATTGTTTTTATGTTGTTGTAAACGTTTCATTAAGTTCTGGCTTGTTTCTCCTATGTAAATTGAATTACAATCTAAACAATTTATTTGATAGACGAGATTTCTGAGTCGTTCGATATTAAAAGGGGTTTTTGTTTTTGTAAAAATAGTGCTAGTAGTTGTACTAAAATTGGTTACAAGTCTCGGAGTCCAGATTTATAAAAAAGTTTTTTCCAAGGAACATACAATTCTTTAATGTATGGCAAACATATTACACCAGAATGAGTTTCTGAGTCAGGTAAATCGTTTTATACTGTGGAATTGTTCATTTTATTCAAAAGGTATGTTTATCTGTTACTGGTTACGGAATTTATAAGTTTTAGGGGATAGGAGTTATCTGTTAGAATTTTTGTAATTAAATTGATGTTGTTGTCCCAAAATATTTTGTCCGATATAATATATATATATATATATATATATTTTATATATATATACATATATTATTTATAATTTATTTTTTAGCACAATATGCCTTCCCCTACGTCCTCAAAAGGATTCCTGTAACCGCAAAACGATCAGTAGAATTGTCGCCCATAGAAGTCGCCTTGGACGAAATGAGATCAAGAGTTTCCGAGTTGGACGAAGCAGTTTCTGCCAGACCTTTGGATGCTAAGAAATTACAACTTAGGTAAATATATATATATATATATATATATATATATATATACAGAAAAATATTTAGATTCATATTGATAACATGTTCGAATATTATTGATAAATAACTTACTTAAAAACAAACCTGATTAATTATATTTTCATTACATTGCAATTTTCATATCTACCAAACAAAATGGACAACAAATAAAACCGTAGAAAAAAAAACTTGCAAAAATACCAAAACCTTAGTTTGTGAAAAGTGTAGATATTTTATTAGATTGATTTATATGTATTTTTTGCAGGTTGCAAGGAAGTGTGTGTGTTCAAGTGAATGCAGGACCTTTGGCTTATGCAACTGTTTTCTTGGATCCTGCCTTGTCCTTGCAATATCCGGAGGATAAAGTTGAAGAACTTAAGGATGTTTTTAGGTAAATATTATAAAAAAGTTTTACAACTATAAGAGAAAAACAACGAGACACTTCTTTTCACCTGGTTTATTTATTCATTTATATAATTAAACTAGCAAACCCGACGAACTCCGTTTCGCCACCAGATGGTTTCGTGAGAAAGATGAAGAAAATTTTTGTTTGTTTTATATTTGAAAAGGAAAAATTTGATTTTATTATACAACAGTAATGAATTTATTTCGATTACAAAAATGAAGTGTTTTTTAGTTGAACTTCTCTAAAAGTAAATGAAAGTGAATCTGCAAATTATCCGTTTCATTTAAGTGCTCTTTGGTAAACCACATTTTTTGTTTTTTGGTCTGACGTTAACACAATGAAAGCGGATGATTTTTCAATTCGTGAACAGGCAACGTATAACTGCCCATGTGAAAAACAATGATTATCTAAATAATCTATTTAAAATTTATCCCGCAAACACTAAGCGATTGGCCTTGCGACTTGTTATTGCGAACGCAAGGCGAACTGGAAATTGCAATCGTTTGAAGTCAAACGGAAGACCAGTCGGAATCATTGGTATGTCACCAAATCGCCAGCAATTTTTGATTGAATGGTGAAATTCAGTGCGTGTACATCATTATTTAATGCGGCAAGAATTGCTCGTTGACTTAACCAAGCATAATTCTGATAATTCTCACTAATGTCATTACTCAAATATTTAATTACGGTGCGTAAAGTTCCAGCAGCTTGCATTAAGGCACGATGCCATGCACAACTAATTTTCTTAGCTATAAACCTTGCGGAGCCCGAGACCTTTCCAACGAATGCAAAATTGTCGAAATCGGTTCGTGCGTTCTGGAGTTATTTCGTCAGGAAGGAAAACCCGACTTATTTATATATATATATATAGAAGATACAGTTTTCTCACTGCCTTTATTTATTTTCTAGGGAGTTTGTTAGAATTTGCAACGAAGCCCTACGAGTCAACGACAGATTGATCACCACCGACCAACAAGAGTACCAAAACGCTTTAAGGGACAATTTCCAAAAACTTTGTGAACAATTATCACAAATATTTAATGAATCTTTGTGGCCCTTGCCAGATGAATGTGGACAAAGGGATAGTTTGGCACTTTTCAGTGCAATCAGTGGAGCTCAGTACAATTCTAGTACTGCCTAAATTCTAGTACTGCCTAAATAAAGGTAAGGGATAGTAATAGTGTCTCAAGGAAATATTTGGTCCATGGTAAAAATATTGGAATATGTCAAAAAGTACATGCTGAAAAATCTCAATAAGTTTAAAGTCTGTTTTTTATGAAGTGGAGTACATTGTAAGTTTTTTTTTTGTATAGCGAAGGAAATGCATTTATGAGTTCCAGACTGGTGTTTTGTCTGGGTATGTCGGACTCAATACCGCCCTGGTATAATACCCACTGATACTTGCCTTAATGCAAAATTACAGATATTATAAATTATAAATATCATATTAAAATTTCAAATCGATATCTCAAATAGTTTTTTGAGTTACAGCCATTTAAAAAGTATATGTATAGTATATAGTACAACGATCATTTTATCTTTAAACGCGTTTTTCTCGAAACAGCATTTTTCGAATTTGCTGCAGTGATTACTCAAAAACGGATGATCCGATCGCTACCAATTTTTTTTTACATGTTCTTTATATAGTTCTTCGTAAAATGAACTATCGATTTTTTGATCGGATCAAAAATCGAATTTTGGCAGTCCAAAAACGACCAAAATTTTGGGTAAAATTCGACTTTTTTAAAAAAAAAACGCCTCTATTTTGTCAATTTTTGATTTATTTTTTTATCGTAGTTCATTTTACAGACAATAATATCTAGTTTAACGAGAATTTTTTTTTTGATTTCATCCACGTAGAAGGCCGGTATCACTGCAGCAGTTATGGGCCTTTTTTTGTCGCGCCGTTGGAGATCGACGATAACTTAAAAAATATTCAATTTTTTCCTTCAAAAATTTTACTACATATTCTTAAAACATGTATAAATATATTTCTAAAAGTTCTGAAATGTTTGATAAAGCAGTTTTTTTTATATAAATTCCCAAAAATCACCTTTTTTTTAGGCCGTTACACTAGTTGTGCCCCTTAAGTCAATTACTACACATTTCGGGGAAGTTCATGCAACTTGCCTTAAGGCAAAATGCCACTTACAACTAGTTTATATTTATATTCACTCGTTGTAAAATATTACTTTATAATATTTCAGCTTCTGGATTTTATTTCAAATAATCAAGAACGAATAACCGACTCGAATCGCCCTCAACTATTTATTCTAGTTTTTAAAAAAACATTTGCCATGTATATATACATTTAATAATTTTGTTATCAATATTATTTTTTAATTGTATACAACTCATTTTTCGTAGTTATTAAAACGTTTGTTATGTATTTTATAATTAGTAATAATAATTATTTAAGTATAAGTATTAATTTGGGGTAAATTTTAGGATGAAGTAGAAAAATTATGGTAATACTAGGATAGGGATCTATCTTCGTATGAGTTGGTAGTAACGAACAGTCGAAAATCTATGTAGTTGCTGTGCGAACAGGCGCTTTACACATAAAAACTAACCTCCAAAACGTCAAAGAACAATTTTATTACCAGTGCAACTTTCTGCTAACGTATACGTTTTATATGTAAAATTTTACGTTTATACATTTTATATGTAAATGTTTGATTTTATATGTAAAATACATAGCTCTTTGACAATTTCTGACTACCGACTCATACGTATATAGACCCCTAACTTGGCATAAAATTTTTATTTTATCCTTGAATTGAACCCTTAAATTTTATTACATAAGTGTTAATGCGAATAATTTGCGAACAAGTATTAATTGTACATTTATTTATTACGTTAAGAAAAACAATTCGGAATTAAATTTTTGAATGTTGTACGAATCAGGGTAGATTAGAAGAGTTTTGAAGTAAAGCTTCGAAAGGGACCGTTGGTAAGTTTTTTGTTCGATAATTATTTTATAAGTTATATATAAATATATACTACAAACATAAAATTATTTAATTGCTAAAAGTGCTTTGCAACTTTGGTAATTTTTTGTATCATTTTAAGTCAATCGCACTTCTCATAGGCCTCTAAAATTTACTGCTGATAAATTTTTTGTATACGTGTAATATCATATGTTTTTTTATATATAATAAGGTGGTCCTTAATATGGATTTGTTAGAATTTCTTTGCTCCCAAGGGCTCAAATGCTTCCAAATTGACAAAAAAACATTCCCTGAAAATTTTAGCTCTTAATATTAACTTTTAGATAGTCCGCAATTTAATCAAAGAACCAGGAAACTTTGGTTGGAGTGCGGACTATCTTAAAGTTAATATTAAGACTTAAAACTTTCAAAGAGTGTTCTATTATCATTTTGGAAGCTTTTGAGACCCTGGGAGCGAAGAAATTTGAAAAAATCCATCTTCAGGACCACTCTAATTCATAAAACGTTTTTAAATTTTTTTTTCAAAACCAGTAGTACATTTACGAATGTTTTTTTCTTTTTCATATCCTCTCCTCTCGTAGATAGTAGAAATTTTAAATTCGGTATATGTATATTATATTTATATTATAATTTAAAAATTTAAAATAACAGTAGGAAAATCGTGTCTATATATAAATATAAAAAATAGTCAATTATATTATATATATAGTCGATGTGTTGTGCTATTTCGGAATATATTTGCCAAATTGATATGCTATAATTTGTTTTAAAATTTTATAGAAACGTCCGTTAGGGACCAAAGTTATGGCAAGGCTATGTTACGAAGAACTTTTCATACTAAATTCTGACAAAGCCATGCGGTTGCTGTGCAGTCAGGCGTATTTCTTGGGTTGTCAAATAGAAAACCTAACGTAGAATTCGCACAAATATCAAAAAAACTATGTTAGATAACAGGGTCTTTCTCACACAGGTTCATAACATTCGCGTAACGTTGCAGTTTATGTGTAAAACGCTTGAATTAGGGTTTGTCGGTTTTCAAAAACCGGTTTTAAAAACCGGTTTTCAGCGAAAATTGTGGAATTCGAAAACCGGTTTTTTAGCGAAAAAAGTCGGTTTTCGCTGTATAGATGGAAAATGACAAATATAGCCAAATATAAAAGATAGATGAAAGCGTTTTGATTCTTGAAATCATATCGGTTCAATAGCATTTGATATCTTATCAGTCTGCAATGGTTCCGAGAAAGGTTTTGTATATATTTACGTTCTCAGTTTTTTGAAATCATATTTTAATAAACAAAAAAAAACAATTAGAATGTTTAAAATAATTAATTAAAATTTCTCGGAACAGACAATACCCGAGTTTAGCTCAATTGTTTTTAAAAAAATAATTGATATTAACAAGTATGTATCAACATGTATCTAATATTTTTTATTTTATTTTGATTTAATGATTTTTTTTATTTAAAAAAGTATTATTTTCATTTATTTGAAAAATTTCCTTTCACTATCATAAAAATATTTTTATTCTTATATGTGAAAATGATGCATGAATAACGAATAATTATTTTCAAAGTTATTTAATCAAGATAAACTATTATTTTTTAGTTCTAATTAAAATTAAAATGGTTTTGTTCACTATCTATAAAATCGAACAATAAATAAATTCAGTCAAATATACTGCTCTAAATTATACTAAATTTGCAGATAAATTACAGAATATTCGAGCAAAATTTTTTTTTTATATAAAATTCGAAAACCGGTTAAAACCGGTTTTTTAGTAAAATTAAAATTCGAAAACCGGTTTTCTGAAATGTCGGTTTTTGTATAAACCCTAGCTTGAATGCACAGCAATACATGACATTTTGACAGTATTCAGTATGATTCGGTAGCTTAATGTATGAAACATGGCCTTGCCATAACATTTCTCTGTTGTGAGGCACAATCGGGCCCTTAATCGCCTTCTTAAAATAATATCAGCCATTCTCAAGGAGATTTTGATAACCAAAATTTTGATACAACTTTTCTACTAAACGTGTTTAAAAAAACAACAAGTAGCTTTTTCACGTTTTATAAACTTTTGTGAAAGTTTTGTATGTTATATAATAACTTTAAAAAGTGTTGGCGAAAGAAGTTATAAGTGATACTTTTAAGTCTTTATGATGTATATTATTTAAAACTTATAAATATAAAAATAAATGAAACGATATCATGCTAAATATACAATCTTTTAATATATAAATGTATATATTGATTTATACATCATTATATATGGCCTAGTCTATATGGTTTGTATGTAAATCTCATATATAAATGTATATATTGATTTATACATCATTATATATGTCCTAGTCTATGTGGTTTGTATGTAAATATCATATATAAATGTATATATTGATCTATACATCATTATATATGTCCTTGTCTATGTGGTTTGTATGTAAATCTCATATATAAATGTATATATTGATATATACATCATTATATATGGCCTAGTCTATGTGGTTTGTATGTAAATCTTATATATAAATGTATATATTGATTTATACACCATTATATATGGCCTAGTCTATGTGGTTTGTATGTAAATCTTATATATAAATGTATATATTGATTTATACATCATTATATATGTCCTTGTCTATGTGGTTTGTATGTAAATACCATATATAAATGTATATATTGATCTATACATCATTATATATGTCCTTGTCTATGTGGTTTGTATGTAAATATCATATATAAATGTATATATTGATCTATACATCATTATATATGTCCTAGTCTATGTGGTTTGTATGTAAATATCATATATAAATGTATATATTGATCTATACATCATTATATATGTCCTAGTCTATGTGGTTTGTATGTAAATATCATATATAAATGTATATATTGATTTATACATCATTATATATGTCCTAGTCTATGTGGTTTGTATGTAAATATCATATATAAATGTATATATTGATTTATACATCATTATATATGTCCTTGTCTATGTGGTTTGTATGTAAATATCATATATAAATGTATATATTGATTTATACATCTTTATATATGGCTTAGTCTACGTGGTTTGTATGTAAATCTCATATATAAATGTATATATTGATTTATACACATTCATATATGGCCTAGTGTATGTGGTTTGTATGTAAATATCATATATAAATGTATATATTGATTTATACATCATTATATATGTCCTAGTCTATGTGGTTTGTATGTAAATATCATATATAAATGTATATATTGATTTATACATCATTATATATGTCCTTGTCTATGTGGTTTGTATGTAAATATCATATATAAATGTATATATTGATTTATACATCATTATATATGACCTAGTCTATGTGGTTTGTATGTAAATCCCATATATAATGTATATTGATTTATACGTCATTATATATGATCTAGTCTATGTGGTTTGTATGTAAATCTCATATATAAATGTATATATTGATTTATACATCATTATATATGACCTAGTCTATGTGGTTTGTATGTAAATCTCATATATAAATGTATATATTGATTTATACGTCATTATATATGATCTAGTCTATGTGGTTTGTATGTAAATCTCATATATAAATGTATATATTGATTTATACATCATTATATATGACTAGTCTATGTGGTTTGTATGTAAATCTCATATATAAATCTATATATTGATTTATACATCATTATATATGGCCTAGTCTATGTGGTTTGTATGTAAATCTCATATATAAATGTATATATTGATTTATACATCATTATATATGGCCTAGTGTATGTGGTTTGTATGTAAATCTCATATATAAATGTATATATTGATTTATACATCATTATATATGGCCTAGTGTTTGTGGTTTGGTATATTTATATATATATATATAAATCGATTCATACATAATTACTAATATATTTCATATCGGAATCTTTCTCGGAGTTTGAAAGCGTATTCAAATTTCCCGCCATACTGCTAGAAGTGTAGCGCATGCAGCGCCTTATGCCAAATTGTTCCCAGTTTTTAGTGAACTACGTAGTGACTACCGGGTTCATATTGTTCTGTGTTAGATGGCGCCACCGAACTATACGTTTGACAGTTTTTAACGCATTTTGAATTTGAATTGAATGTATAGTTAAATAAATATAATAATCTATACATCATTAATCCTTAAAAATCCGTGGATATATATATGGATATATATATGGATATATATATATATATATGTATATATATATATCCATGGATTTATTTTCAAAGTTTTTATTGAGTTGTTCATTTTAGGTTCACTTTGAAAATCCGTCTATAGGCCTCATTATATTAGATGTATAAATGCATATATTGATTTATACATCTTGTAAACATATATATATATATATATATATATATATATATAATTACAATTATATAAAAAGACAAGATTCAAAATTATACAATTATTTTATCAATAGAAAATATTTACACATTATTTATACCAGAAGATTCATATATAACTCAACCGAAACCCCAATTGGATAAAAAACTAGAATCTTATAAGATTGCTCCATGATTAACATCATATTCATAATTGATAGCTTCGAAAAGATTTAGTTTTATCCAAGGGTACATCAATTAAAAAGCATAATCAAAGTAAAATTAAATTAATTCATCATAATATTTAACAACTTTCTCAAAAATACTATATTAGACAATTGTTAAAACTAATTATTTGTAGTTAATATATAGAAACTATTTGCCAATGTAATTAGTAGTATCTTATTGGTCGCCTTCTGCTTTGCGGGGTTCTGCATCACCTTTCGGTTCACCTGGAAAAATAATAGTTAAATCTCTAGTATATACTAGCTGACCCGGCAAACGTTTTGCTAAGTAAGGTATATTCTAAACAATTTCTAGAGAATCAAAAATATTAATACTTTAAATGTATAAGGATGTGTTGTTTGAATGCTATATACAATAAAGTATTATAAAAACAATAAACCCCATTAGTTTATCTATATTTTGTCAATACAATCAAACTGCAAGTTTTATACACTTTCTATAGAAAACATGGTATAATTTAATCCAAACCTTTTTTGGTCCTTTGACTTATTGATTACGTTTCTAGTTATCCAGATTCTTTTTGGATTCTGGATTTTGTGTATAATTGTAAATAATACTACTGAGCTTATACAAATTTTTCAAATTTCTGCGAGGAGAGATAGAAAATGAATTAGATATATCTGCTTTGACCTGCTTTATGAAAAGTTTCACGTAACATACCAAGAATTAAAGTAAATTTATTGAAAGTATATGTATATGTAGAGCAGGGCAAGGCACAAAGGTCCAATTTGAGTTTGAGCAAATATAAATTTTATTATGAAAATCAAACCAATTTTATCACAACAAATAAAACATTTCAACTAAACAATTATCTGACTATGTTCAATATAACTGCCAACTACTTCACCATTGTAGAAATGTACTTTTTGATGTCTTTCAAAAATTTGTTATCTAGACCTTTTTACCCCATAGACGGGGTAACTTTGAACGTCCTGGTGGCAAACAGGTTTAATGTCTTATTTTAATTTTAAAAGTATGTTACAAAATAAATTTCTCCATCATCCATCTGGCATTGCTTGCTATTATTAAGAATTAATTTACTTGCCACTTCGTAATAATTTTCCGTGGTTATTAAAAAATTTATATTATTCACGTAATAATTTTCCAAAAGTGGTGATTAAAAAATGCATGTTAATATATTTGTATCAAAACAGAAAACCGAATGACAGTTGACAATTGAAAGTTAATGTCATAAACTAAATGGATAAAATAATTAATTTTGAATTGGAATGAAAACGGGAGAAAAAGTATCACATTTGTTTCTTCTGGCTCTAAACTACCTCCCTGCCAATTTTCATCTAAATCGGTTCAGCCGTTCGTGAGTTATAGGTGTTCTAACTTAAGCGATCCTCTATATATATATATATATATATATATATATATATATATATATAATATATATAGATATGTATAGTATATATATATATGTGTTGTACAATTCTACAAGACCATGATCAAATATTGTGGAGTATTGAAGTGCAAATATGATTAAGCTGATAATATATATGCATTAGAGTCCATTACCCTTATCGTCTGTCCCCCCCTGTGGTGCTTGTGGCGGCAGTTGTGCAGGTGGCGGTGCCTGTTGCTGCGTCTGCAAATCGGGTGCCCCAGGATGCATAGGAGGAGGTTGCTGTGCAGGATGTGGCGGTGGTGCTAATTGCTGCTCATGATGGTGCATCGGAGGCGGCGGATAGTGCCCCATTGGCGGTCTGGCGACGTGATGTCCGCCGTAGGGGTACGGTGCATGTGGCGGATAACCCTGATACCCCTGATGATGGTATGGAGGATATGGAGCGTGGTGCGGAGGCGGTGGCGGCGGCTGCTGCCCCGGCGGTGCTGCGTACTGATTCTGTGGCGGTGGAGGAGGATAGTAGCCGCGAGGCGCGTACTGGTGAGGCGGCGGACCGTATCCGACGGACGGAGGCGGCGGCGGCATGCCGGGATGGTGAGCACCTGACATTGGTGGCATCACGGCTGGAGGAGTAGAAGTAGATGGTAGATAATTGTGTGATAAATTAAGGGGCTAATTTTGCGGTAACGCAGTTGATTTTGTTATGGCAAACATAGCGCTTGTTTCTTGGTAGGAAAAACTGTGAAAATACTAATTGCTGTACGATCAGACAGATAAAACCGTATGCTAGAAATGCCTTTCACACAAATATAATTATGACGAGTTTTTTTTAACTTCCCGAAGGAGAAGTTTATGTTATCATAAAAAATCCGATTTGCTAATTTTATGTTTCTCGACGTTTCAAGCCATTCTGAATCGAATGAGACCAAATTTGGAAAAAAAGATATATATATATATATATATATATATATATATATATTAGGGTGGTCCTTAAAATGGTCCCAGGGGTTCAAATGGTTCCAAATAGATAAAAAACAATTCTCTGTAAGTTTTAGCTTTTAATATTGACGTTTAAATAGAGCGCAATTCAATCAAACTTTGTATGGAAAGAGTATGGAAAAAAAATTGAAAATTTAAAAAACATGTTTTAGGTATAACTTAGCGACAAATGAATAAGTTTTATTCATTCATTTGTTTGCTAAATTACATCTAAAAAACATTTTCAAAATTTTATAAAAAAATTCCATGCTATTTCCATACAAAACTTTGATTATTTATGTTACATTTACATTGGACTTTCAGCTTTCTATTTTCCTTAAATTTAACTTTGTAGAACGGTAAATAAATTTTATATGAAAGTTCAAAGTGTGTATATATTTTGTTGAAGCACCCTGTATATATATATATATATATATATATATATATATACATACAGAGTGCTTTCAGGTTTGTGTGTGTGTGAACAGATTTTTTGCCGGTAAATCGACGTTTTCTCAATAACGACTAGACCGATTTCAAAAAGCCATTTGATGTATCTCGATGAGGACTAGCGTTTATCAATTTTGCGCGACGATCAGTCAAGTCATTTCTTTGTAAATAGCTTAATAGTGCAAAAATTTTCGCCCACGTTTTAGCCCGCAATTCTGAATCGATTTTGAAAATTCAAAAACTGTTCGAAAATATAAGTTGGGAATCACATGCTAATTAGTTTTTGGTAAAGATCGGCCGGGCCATTTTCTTGTAATAAAGTGTTTAAAATTTTATGATTTTTTTCCTGACGGTAGATACCATAGTCTTATAGATCATACTTAAATATTACCGTCCTACGACAACTCGTTTAACATTAAAAATTCTTCAAAGTTTGCAAAAATTAGTATCGTTTTTTTAGCATTTGTCAAAATTAGACCTTTCATCGACGTTTGCTCAAAAACGCCTGAACCGATTTCAGAAATTTAAAAGCCATTCGATGTATCTCAATGAGTACTATATTTTGTTAGTTTTGCGAGACGATCTGCTGAGCCATTTCTTTGTAATTTGAAAAAGAGTGTTAAACTTTTCGTCCACATTTAAGCTCATTCTACCGAATCGATTATAAAAAATCAAGAACTGTTCGAAAGATATTAGTTGGGAATGATACTGATTAGTTTTAGGTGAAAATCTACCGAGCAAATAACTGTTGAAAAAATTTAAGCCGATTTTTATAAAACTCTTTTGGCGATATATATCATGGTCCTATAGAACTTACTGAAATATTACGGCCTTACGACAAGTAGTTTAATTTTAAAAATTCATCAAAGCTTGAGCAAATGTGTAGTTATTTTTTGACGTTTGTTAAAATTTAAATTAGACCATTTACTTGGTATAACGATAGAGTACTTGTTCTTAATGAACATACTAAACCATTCAAGTCCTGCGGAAACTGGTTCAATTATAAAAATTATTGATTTTTGAAAATTTGCTTTTTGAAAATACTCCGAGTTAACGTGTGCGTTCGTTTTCAATTATGTGTAATAAATCCACTCGGAATACTTTTAATCACTCATAAATTAATTTGTTTATTATTGATTAAGTCGATTATTTACACATATCGGAAAGTTCATGTAACTTGCCTCAATGCAAAATACCAATACCTACTAGTTAACAAATAGATTTTCACAGATTTTACTACCAAGAAAGAAGGCTTCATTATCAGCTGTGTTACCGCAGAATTTGCCTATAAAGCTGGTGGGTTAAATATGCAATGGCGATATGAATTTTATATGTTTGTTATTTTGCATGAGATGATACCTTGTGGATGATGTGGTGGAATATGAGGGTCGATGGGCATCTGTGCGTGCGGCGGTGGCGGTGGCAGGCCGGGTCCCCCAGGACCAGAAAATTGCACTAGATAAAATGATCAATGTGTTAAAAAAAAAGCAGAACATACATGTGAACACAATGAATTAAATGACACCAATTCCAAACCATGCAAACATTTGTCTAGATGATAACGATGGAGGGTAATGTACAACTTTATTATTAACTTCCCGAAGGAGAAGTTTATGTTTTCATAAAAAAATCCGATTCGCTTATTTTATGTTTTCTCGACGTTTCAAGCCATTCTAAATCGAATGAGACCAAATTTGGAAGAAGTCTGTGTGTGTGTGTGTGTGTGTGTGAACAGATTTTTGACCTTTCGTCGACGTTTTCTTAAAAACTGCTAGACCGATTTCAAAAATTTAAAAGCCATTCGATATATCTCGATAAGGACTATCGTTTCTCAGTTTTGTGCGATGATCTGTCAAGCAGTTTTTTGTAACTAGCAGAAAAGTGACAATTTTTCGTCCACGTTTTAGTCAAAAATTCTGAATCGATTTGAAAAATTCAAAAACTATTCGAAAGAAGTTATTTGGGTTCGCACTGATTAGTTTCGGACAAAGATCGGGCAGGCCTTTTCTTCATAATTAATTGTTAAAAATTGAACTTCCATTGTGCATCATGCAAATTGCTAGAACCATTACAAAAATTATATATTTTTTTAAATATTTTTTTTTTTTAATTTTCAAAAAATTGGATTTTTGAGAACTTTAAAATTTAGAAAAAAATGAATTTTTTGAAAATTTGGATTTTTTTATATTTTGAGATATTTTGGAAATTTTGAACTTTTTTTCGAATCTATCGCACTGCGTTAGCTGCGTAAACAGAGAATAAGGAAGCGCGTAAGCGCTGTTTCGCAGTCTAACGGGTAATCTAAATTCATACTTATTAAAATCTATAAAATATCCTCTAGTTTAATGTGCATATGTCTAATGATCATTTTTGACCGCCAAATGGCACTTATTTTTACTTTTCTTTTACGAAATCTCCGAAACCGCTAGACCTGCCTTCCCAGAAATTTTATCAGTTCTTCATTTCGTCAATACAAGTAAAATGTTTTATGAATCATTCAAATCGGTCGCTCCGTTCTCTCAAAAATTGAATTGCAGTTTTTGGCACTTTTTGCCCCGTATCTTCGGAACGGTTAGACCTGGCTTTGCAAAAAACTAATCAGCACGTCTCCTTATCAATACGAATCGAATGTTATTTGAATTATTCAAATCGGTTGATCGGTGTTCCCGAAATCGTCGACGAAAATTTGTATCCGCACACACACACACACACACATAAATAAATTTTTTCTAAGGTATGCCAAAATGTTTAGAAACCTTTAAAACGTAAAGATATATAAAAAAGTGTCATTATCAATTTTTTTGCGATTACTATAATTACCTTACGGGAAGTTAAAAAATCGACTATTTTAATTTTTTGTTTTGTTTGTTTTCAATAATGTGTAATAAAAAAATTGTACTAAATCGAATAATTAGCAATAGTTTAACACATCATGGCCGTACAGCAACTCGGCATACTTATAAATCACTAAGAAAGTCCTAAGAAAGTTGTTTAATATAAAAATTGACTAAAAATTGGCTGCGATTTTAGAAAATACTCTGTACATGTGTTTGTTTTCAATAATGTGTAATAAAAAAAAATGTACTAAATTGAATAATCAGCAATAGTTTATCACATCATGACGCTCTACAGCAACTCAGTATACTTAAATAAATCACTCATAAATTAATATATTGATTTCTTATTATATCGATTATTTAAATATTTCGGAAAGTTCATGCAACTTGCCCTAAGGCAAAATGCCACTTACAACCAGTGTTTATTTCTAATTTATTTCTATTACCTGGTTGAGGGGCCAAAGGCGCCTGCTGCGGCGGCATCTGTGCCTCAGGATGCGGCGGCGCCGGTGCATGATGGTGCCCTTGTGGCGGTTCCACCACCGGTGGCATTTGATTACTTTCCGAAATTGGCGGTGTTTCCACTGCCGGCGGTGGTGGTGTTGGTTCATTCTTAATTTCACTCTTTTCCTCCGTCTTCACTATCGGCTTTTCCTCTGGAGGTGATTTGGAGGCGCTTTCATCGCCTGCACTTGGCGGAGCTGGTGTTGGTTCTGTTGTTGAACCTTCTGGAGGCTCTATTTCCATTGCTTCAGATTCGTCTTCTGTTTTTATGGTGTCCGGTTTTTGGTCTTTGGGCTCTTCTATTTTTTTGGGCTGCTCTTGCTCCATAGGCTAGAGGAAATATGATAGTTTCAATACATTTTTTTATTTATGTGGAATATATAGCTTTACAGAATAATTAGTTTTTGGTAAATTCTAAAAAAGCATATTGAAGTAAAACTTCTTTATACGCGAGTAGGGTGTAAATCCGTACAAATGCAACGGAAGTGCGTTACGGCAGATAAGATAAGATAATAGCCGAGTGCCAATGATTCGTCATTCGCTCTCGATGATATCATTTCTATACGAGTCGATTGTGATTAGTCGTCGTGTATGTGAATACAGAGTATAATATATAATATAGAGATCTGTCGTTGTATGCGTGCCTGCATCAACGTTGTATGCGTATCGGCGTTTTTGAAAGTAAAAAAAATACCATCAGTTAATAAATGTATGTTAATTTTAATTACATGAAGTTCTTCAAACACAATTACATGATGATTATTTGTTTAGGCGTTGTTTAACATAATCCACTGTGTGATCGATTATTATAAAATTTATTAATCAGCAATTACTTAATTTCTCTAATGAAGGTTCATTTCTAAATGCTAATTACAATGACAAACCGATCACGTCATATTTGAAGAATGATTTTAATTACATTATTGTTCTAAATATTATACATATTTTTAATGCTATTATACTCGTAAATATATAATTTATAATTTATCATTATATAAATGTGTATAATGGTTGACACTAATAATTCGCATTCTTTTTTTTATTTATTTAGCGGTGCCTATTGTATGATATGTAGCTACAATAATTAGGTTTTGGTAAATTCTAGAAAAAATATACCTTTGTGGACAAGTATGTTTGAATTTATTATATCCTTGAAATATGTTATTAAATATATTTATTAAAGATTGAACAGGATGCCCTATCAATATGTGACGGTGAATGAAAATATTGAAGTTTTGTTTGCGCAATGAAAGGGATCATTTGATCGGAGTTGTTTTTCGAACTTGAATGAAAAACTTCGATGAAAAAAATTGTAAAGCTTTGAATTTGATAATAAAAAAGGTTTATCAAAATTCATTTGAAATTGTTCAATCTATTCAATATTTCCATTGACCACATACAAATGGTGCACCTTGTATATATGAAAAAAATGTATCAAAACATTATTTTCTGTATTTAAATTCGAAATAACCGCGATTTTGTCCACAACTTTCCATCGGCCAACACACGTGCCGGCAACGTGTTGAATAGAATAGAATCACTTTAGTATTTCGAGGTTAAGCTAAACAAAATCAATTAGAACGTGTTTTAGTTAATATTTTCGTCAATCAGTGATTTTTTAGTGATTAATAATTGTGTGATAGGCTCTCGTAAAATTGTACAAACCGCCGGACATTGTGCAAAATAAAAAAAACAGTCAAAAAATACATAAAAGGTATGATTGAAACTAAACTCTTCCTTAAATTCCATTATGGCATCAGACTTTAGAGCAAATACACTAAAACTATAAAATATTAAGAATTTATAAAGTCTTTGAAAGATCCACATGATGTTGCCTTTTATATATATACGACAGACAGGTGTCTGTATTTTTAGATTAATGGATAGATACTTCTCTGGTCTTCTAAAGTATTTATTCGTAGTATTGATTATGAACAATCGAGAGAAAGGACTGCCCTCGTGGATTTTTTTTCTGATCGAATATTTGTTATTGACATCATTCACTTAGAAGAGAGAGATATGAGACTTAGAACCTACAATCTCTTCTATCCTGGTTTACTTTACAAAAATATTTATTCGAGTCAATGATTATAATCAAGAAAAGGGCTAGTCATTATGAATTTTGACAAAATCTTGAATTTATACATAAACTACAACTATAGCATCTATAAAACATACTAAATTTAGAAAGTCTTCAGATGATCCATATATAGTGGTCATAATTTGTTTGTATGTTTAGATTAATCGATAGTTACTGCTCTGATCTTCTTAAGTATATATTCTTGGCATTGATTATAAACAATCAATGAAAGGACTGTTCTCGTGGATCATTTTTTTCTGATTGAATAATTGTTACTGACATCTTTTACTTTGTAAGTCTTAGTATGGACAATCCCTTCTATTCTGATTTACTTTAAAATATTTATATGTATCAATAATTATTATTAATCAAGAAAAGGGCTGGTGGTAATAATAAATTTGTCAACGTCTTAAATTCAAATGCTTCTGTTACATCTTTCATTACTTACATTTCATTTTAACATCCTTTACATTAAAAACCTTAAAACATACAATTGCTTCTGTAGCATTAGAATATAATTGAATGCATTATATTCCTTCTGCATTTTAAAAAAGGTATTTCAAAATAAAAACAATATTCATTCAATAAATGCATAATGACATAATGAAAAGCAATCTAGAACTTCCAGTTCATCTTCTAGTTACTGACATAATTCAATTTGTGATTCTTAGGACAGTCAATCTCTTCTGTTCTGATTCGCTTTATAAAAATATTTATTCGTATCAATGATTATCATTAATCAAGAAAAGGGCTGGTGGTAATAATAAATTTGTCAACGTCTTGAATTCAAACACTTATGTTACTGTAATATCCTTTACATTAAAAACCTTAGAACGTACAGTTTTTTCTATAGAATTATATTCCCTCTGCATTTAAAAAAGGTATTTCATATTAAAAACAATATTTATTCAATAAATGCATAATGACATTATGAAAAGCAATCTAGACCCTTTCGATTGATTATTAATAGTTCGTTAAACTCAAAATAAAAATTCTTTTTAATTTGTTACTTAATGTTTTCAAATTACTATTATGCAAATTCAAATAAAAAATATCGGGCATTCTAAATCAGCGTGACAAATGTTGAAAGTGTAATTCGTAGCTAAAAATTTAAATTAATGTAGGAATTTAAAGAGACTCTCAGGAGTTTTTAATAAAAGATTAATATTATATATTGTATGTAAATATTCACTGATTTATTTTTATTATTGCTATAATTAAAAATAAAAACGATTAAGTTAAAGCAAAAGTTCTTATAAATTATTTTCATTGCGTATCAAATCTGCATTATTGTTCTCATTATTTTTATTATTTCCTTATTTATGATTGTTCTTATTATTTTCATTATTTTTCTACTGATTGACTCTTTTTTACTTGTTATAATTTATAAAAAAACGATAAAGTTGAAGCAAATCTTATAAATGATTCTTATTAGATATTGTATGTATTTATTTTTTTACTGTTCTTATAAATTATTCTCATTACATACCAAATGTAATTCTTTTTTACTTATTGGTTTTTTATAGCTCATAATGAAAAAATAATAATAATAGTAAGTTCAAGTTATAAATTATCCTTATTTTATATCATCATACAAAATTGTATTTCACTGGTTTCTTTGAATTTATAACTGGATTTGACCACTGACCACAATGAGTATATATAAATATATATATATATATATATATATATATATATATTTTACCAATTGTACTATTTCACGAGAGCATTTCTATTAAACTGTCTATTTACCTGAATATAGTGCAGAACTATCATCTATCCGTGTGAAAAGCATGGTGAGGAAATTACACATCAAATAAATTTAGTGATAAAAAAATACTAGTGGTCTAATAAACGACACAGACATGCAATAACTAATAATAATTTAGTTGTTGGTGAAATTATTTATATCGGTAGTTATAAATTTGTGAGACTACTTGTGTTGTGCTTGGTGAGTGTTAAAAAAGTGATGTAAATGTGAAGAAGGTGAAAAAATACTTCATAAGGTAAGAAAAAGTTGTATTTTTATGTTTTATTTAATTTTACATATTAATAATTATCAATTAAAACTTTGGTTCATAAAAATTGCATCCTTTTCTTTGTTTTAATCAATTCAGTACTAATCATGTTTTTTTAAGACACATGACGAATTGTGCAAAATTAATAATAATGATAAACCGTTACTATATTTAACACCATACTCAAATGCAAAATGTTCTTCAAAAATATTTTCAAGTGATAATTTAATTATTAAGCAAAATGTAATTTTTAAATATTATAAATATTTCACATGTATTTGTGAGATAAATGCTTTACAGCAGTAAAGTGTTGCACATAAAACCTCCAGTTTAATATTGTCTAAAATATTATCCTTTACATCTACTTACCTCTCTCGATCCCTGACTATCCTCAGTCGGTGCAGATGCCATAGTAGCACCTGCAGCCGCAGGAGCATTATTCTGTGCCTCTTCGACAGATTTTGGGCCCCCTGTACCACCAGCTGATCCTCTGTTTGCATCATCGGCCCGAGGACCTTTGGGTCCGGCTAAACGTTCTTGTCTTAAAGCCTCGTATTGTTTTTCCACCATTTTCTGGAACGCTTCTTCGGTCACGGCTGGTTTACAGTGCTAGAGAAATAGATAGATAATTAATAATAATCTTATATATAAAAATGGAGCTCTCGATCAAATGATCCGCTAAAACTCGAAAACGGCTAAACCGATTTGGCCAGTCTTAGTCTTGAAAAATTCGTGCTAATCAGTAGGTTGTCGGAAAGGTGAGATATTATTTCAAAATCGCGTAGAAACTTTACATTTTTAATTTGAACATTTTTGTGGAAGCGTAATTTAAATAAAACAATGGACGGTGGCTAATACGTCAAACGTCAAACGTTTTTGACTCATGATGTTTAATTATGTTTAATAGGATGTTTAACGTGAATATTATTTAATTATGATTAAATTGTAGTAAGTAGTTTTGTTCGTAGTTATATTTATACACAAAAACGTTATTAAACTGGCCGCAAGTGTTATTAGAATCTCAAAATATTAACTTTTTTGAAATGTTGATATGAAAATGCAGTTTTTGGCATATTTTTCTCAAACACGGTGCTCTAAAAGATCTCATTTGTATAATTATATACTCATTGGTATTTATAGAACATTTTCTAGGTTATATTCTTATTTATTTATGCCATTTCAAATTAGAACCTAAATTTGGTATCCGTCAGAGGGACATTTTGTCAAATAACATTTTCCCAGTTATAATTTCCCAGAATTTATCGAAGAATAGATAGTAATATATGAAGGTCCAGGGTTAAAAAGGTCCACCACCGATGTGTCAAAAACCAGTAAAGTTAAGCATTGTTTAACAACAATATTTGAAAGTAGAGGGAAAAAGATGTATAACCAGCTATAACCTTGATTCTCATGACTTTGCTATCGGGAAATAAACGGAAATCTTTGAAAATCCATAATAAAAGTATTTTCTTCCGTTGGTAGTTTTTAGCATTAGTTAAAAGTGTAATTATTTTGTAAAATACCTTTAAAATTAAAATAAGACATTAAACCTGTTTGCCACCTGGCCGTTCCAAGTTACCCCGCCTATAGGGTAAAAAAGGTTTAGATAAATTTTTGAAAGACAGCAAAAAAGCACATTTCTACAATGATGAAGTAGCTGGCTGTTTTACTGAACGTAGTCAGATAATGGTTTGTTTAAAATGTGTTATTTGTTGTGATATAATTGTTTTGGTTTTCACAATATAGTTTGTATTTACTCAAAGCCAAGTTGGACCTTTGTGCCTCGCCCTGCTCAACATATATACTTTTTATTAAATTTACTTTAATTCATTGAATTTTACTTGAAGCTTTTCAAAAAGCAGGTCAAAGAAGAAATACTTAATTCATTTTCTATCTCTCCTCGCAAAAATTTAAAAAATTTTAATGAGCTCAGTAGCATTTACAATTATACACAAAATTCAGATTTCAAAAAGAACCTAAAAAACTTGAAACGTAATTAATAGGTCGAAAGACCAAAAAAGACTTGGATTGGATTATATCATGTTTCTTATAGAAAGTGTATAAATCTTCCAGTTTGATTGTATCGACAAAATGTGGACAAACTAATGGGGGTTTATTGTTTTTATAACACCTCATTGTATATAGCATTCAAACAACACATCCTTATACACTAAAAGTATTGATATTTTCGATTCTCTAGAAATTGTTTAGAATATCCTTACTTAGCAAAACAACGTTTGCCCGGTCATCTAGTTAATAATAAAAATCATAGTATGATATTTTACTGTATGGGTAATTTTATTTTTTTAAATACCTTCTTTAGTTCTTGTTGGAAAGTTTCACTGCTCTCAATAAACTTCCTCTTCTTAGTTTCAAATTTGTCTTCGATTTGCTGCAATTCAGCTTCCAATTTTTTCTGATGCATTGTTAATGAATGGACTTGCCTTCTTAAAACCTGGTAAACGATTGTACAAGTTAATAGAGTTAGATTGTTGGAGAATAAATACACTGAACATGGATACTTTAATTACTTCGAAAGACCAGATATAATTTATAATTACATAGGCTATGATTGATTCAAAATAAGTAGTTTGGTTCATTATTGTATTTATTTGTTAGTTGTTAACAGTTCAAGAAAACTAGCTTAGTACCTACAATAGTAAATTATTTTATTGCTGTTAGATGTGTAACACCTATGAAGGCGCAAGCAAATATTTTAAATTCCAATTAATTTATTACCTGCATTCTAGATGTTGTCACTACAGATCTTACATCTGGTACGATTGCATCAGAAAATATTTCATTAATCAGGCGGTGATTTCGGTTGTAGCGAGCAAAGGCTACATGTTTAGCAGAGTAACCATCATCTTGATCTGAAAGTAATAAGACAGTATAATTTAATTATTATGGTTAAATTAATGTAATATTATTTAAATCAAATTATATATTTACCATCTTCATCTTCAGCTGGTTGAATATCAATTCTTCTGTCTTGTTGTTGTTGTTTGCCACTTGAACGATCATGAACGTCTCTTTCTTCTGAGACAAGAGTCACTATAAAAGATAACAAACTATTATAAGAATATCTTTGCTATATGTTGTTTAAACTAAAGTTAATTTAATAGATAAATTCTGGATATTCCAATAAATTTATATGTTTTTCTAAATAATTAATCCACTAAATAAAAATAATAAATACGTCATCAGGTTTTTCTGTCAAAAACAACTTTTTATGATATAACAATATTATTAATGATGATTACATAATATTAAAAAACTTATAAAAGTATGAATCATCTACTTTTTCTTAAAAAACGAAAAAATATGTAGAAATATATAAAAAATTAGGAAGTAAAAATTATTTACCTAATTTTTTGTTGGTTGGATTAAATGTATAAATATATATATATATATATATATATATATATATTATATTACCCTTACCTGGTTTTACTCTATTTTTAGCAGCAATATAAGCCAAATAAGCAGATGAGTTATGATAAGCTTTCAAATTCTTCTCATATTCCACTTTATCAGCTTCATATTCTTCAACAAATTCAACTTTTTCGCTCTCGGGCAAGTCCCTCCACATTCCTCCAATGATTTTTCCGATTTCCCATAATTTTAGATCTGGATGATTTGCTTTCACTGAATCCCAAACTCTACGAGAGTATCTCATGTAGGGCATGAGGGGTTTCTCTGGGGCTTTTGGTGGTTTTAGGGCCGTAGCCTAAAAAAAAGATTATTGATAAGATTTACTTTGATATTTAAATTTGCTTACTTTTAGTGAATGGGAATTTATGGATTCTAATAATCTGCTTAATTAATAAATAGAAATAGAACAACAAAATAAATAATCAATTAATGTTTGATTTTTCAATTTAATATTATAAACATTATTTATTTAATATTAGCAAACTTCATAAACAAATATTTTTTTCTAAGAATTTATATCAAATAATATATACATAATTTTATTTATTGAAGATATTTTAGTTATAAAACTTGCATGAATAAAAATCAATTCTTAAATTTAAAAAAAGAAGTATTTTGTTGCACAATATAATATAATAATTTAAACAGTAATCATTTATAAACAAATAGTTTTGTTAAACAATATAAATCAAGTTTTTTTATGCAAAAATCATAACTTGTTACTTATTATATATTAACCACTTTTTGAAATACAAACGTGGTAAATAAAGACTATGTTTCCATTTTAAAAATACTTACAGAAGCACTAGCTTTGCTAACTTTCTGCGGCAAATAACCAGGATGACTGTGCGGGGTCACTATGAATGGTGACCCAGAATTATCTTTTCTGCTTCCTCCATCTCCACCTCCTCCACCACCCGAGGCTCTTAATCGTTCTAAATAAATAAATAAAATAATATTATTATCGTAAGGAAACCTAGCTTAACATTACAAATAAACATGATTAGTTGTAAATGATATAAAAGATATTACATAAAAATATTATAGAATACTTGTAGTTCCTAATGCATTTATACTATTACCATGATATTATTACAAGTAGAGTAAAACAAAAACTCTTATTGTTTTTATGCAAACGTTTGTAAATCATTATTAACGAGGCTAAATATTACCTTTATGAAACCTAGCTTAACATTACAAACAAACATGATTAGCTTTTTGTAAATAACATAAAATTTGTTATTACTACTTTTCCACGAATGATAGAGATTCTTTAAGGAATTGTATCATTACCTTGTGATTGGATAAAAATATTTTAATATCAGTGTAAAATAAAAAAAAAGGAGACAAGTTGAAATATAAGACCTAACCTATTTGACATCGAATTGAAAATTAACTTTAAGAAAAAAACATTTGCTTTTCGTTACACAAACTATCACTTGTCATAAACCCCTGAATATGGTTTAAATATAATTAGAACTATTTTTAACAGTAAAATTAATACCAAACACAAATATTTTGATTTGTGGTATTTATAAACGCCATATTTGTTTTGATGCAAGTGTTTGTAAATTGTTGTAGTAAATATTATTTATTAATTATAAATACTCACGAGTGCTTTGTACAGGTGTACTAACTGCAATTTGTTTATATGTAGGTGGCATAGACATTTTGGATAAAATATATCTTCTAAGCCTTTCTTAAAATTATTGTGATATCTTGTTGTAAGTTCTGCAAAATTCATAACACATTGATTAATAAATTAATTGCGCATAAATTAACTTATACACATTTGAACATAATCAACACTTTGCTACATGAATATTTCAATTATTTATATCTTATTATTCTAAAAAGCAGTATCTTTATATAATTTGTATACATATATCATTCCGTACATTTTCGAGAGTCCACCAACTTGATTTTTATAAATTATATAGCTTAATATTAAATGCTCATCAATAAAATCACATTTTTATACATTTTACTACATTATTCTCGATATTAGTTATAAAAATATAATAAAATTGTCATCTACATTTTGTTGACAAGACGCCACTAAGCAAAAATTGATTCGCCGGTAGTGTTGCCATATAGGATAAAGAATGAGGTGAAGTGGGCGCGAAATTCAAATTTGAAAATGAAATTTAATAATAGACTTCAGAATGATTTTGTTTGGAATATTATTTATCAAAATTTAATTAGTTTTTTATAAAAATGTATATTTGCATTAACACACTTTCTTATTCATCAAATTATTCAAATGTTTATATAATGGTATATAAGTATTCTAAAAATGTTACTTTTTTAATGAATTTAACATATTTAAAATTTGTTTCTAAAGCTGAAAACATACATTTCATATAACCAATTCAAATAACATATTTTTTGGAAATAGTCAATAACTTTTTAATAGATCCAAAATCATTTTGCTACATTTTTTTTGAAAATCAAAATTTATATTCGAGTTTTTTTCTAAAACACATTTTCAATATTTGAGACTTGTATTATTTTTATTTTCAACAAACAAAAGCTGAATTGTCAGCAAAGTAATTGTAAATACAAATTCTCTTTAGAAGACTATTATGATTTTTAATTTTACACATTAATTTCACCAATTATTTAGGTATTTAGCCAAGTCGATAAAGGGTTTTTAGAAAAACTCTTCAAAAATAGCTTTGATTTTTATAGAAAAATTATTCTCTTTTAATCTTATTTAAAATCAGAAGCATTTCAGAAAGTAAAAATATTTTTCACTGTTGAAACAATAAGTATGTTATTTATATAAGGCAATAAATTTTCTCTGAAGATAAAATTATTCGTGTATAGTTTTTGTGTTAAGAATAGTTTTAAGAACAGTAGTTATAATAATAATTAATATTCATATCATCAAAAATTTCTGTGTGAGACAATATATATTATATTACTTTTTTCTTCTGAATTAATCAACTAATAAGTGCCATAAACACAAAAATTAAATTAATTGTATAGACTTATAAATGATATAAACTTTAATATGAAGAGTTTGGTGTATTTTAAAAGTTTGGCTTCCTTAGGACACATATTATTAAAAAAATTACAATTTTAAGAAAAATACTTTTGAATTTTTGCAAAAACCACCTTCTTTTCATAATATTTGGAAATTTATTCAAGATACGTATAACTTTAAGAGAAAAATATGCGAATTTTTATAAAATAAAAAAAACAGCTTCATTTCATTACATTCTGAAATTTATTCAAGATACGTATGAAAGTATGTTAAAAAAAAAAAATGGTATGATTGTATTATATGAATCTTTCATAATTTTCATTTATGAAAACGTGATTGTTGTGCTTAATTCAAAAATATTCTGTTTCTTAAAATTCTGATTTTGTTCTTTTAAAAATGTGCCAATCTTTTACAATACATCAAACTCTTTATAAGAATTAATTTTAATTTTGGTGGAAATGGCACTTTAAAATTAATTAATTTAGCATAAGTATATAATTTTTTTACCAACATAGGAGATTCTTATAATATAAAAATTGAATTAATAATAACAACTGTACTAATAACTATTCTTAACATTAAATCTTAACATACGAATAATTTTTTTCAAAGGAAATTACTCAAACTGTTTCTTTATATAAACAACATACATATTTTTAAACAATACATAAAATATATCCCACTTCTGAAAATATTTGTGATTTTAGATAATATAAAAAAAATGTTTTTTTTTTAATTACAAAATCATAGATGTTTCTGAGGAGAACTATTCTTATATTAATTTTTATGTTAAAAAATAGTTCAACCACTCAAAAACTTATATTTTCAAAAAATAAAATACATTTTTAAACAATAAAAAATATCTCTCACTTCTGAAATATTTGATTTTGAATATTAAAAAACGGAAATCAAAAAAAAAAATGTACAAAATCAAAGCTAGAAACAGCTTCTTACACTAGTTTTTATGTTAGGAGTAGTTAAACCACTCTTATTTTCCATATAAATAAAATACAAGTTTTAATAAAATACAATAAAAAATATATCCCACATCTGATTTTTGATATTTAAAAAAATGCCCAAAATACATGTTTCTCAGTAACATTATTTATATATTAATTTTTATGCCAAGAGTAGTTCTTATATAAATAAAATACATGTTTAAACAAAGAAAAACTTGCCTACTTTTGAAATATTTCAGATTTTAAATATAATTAAAAAACAGAAATTTAAAAAAAAATGTACAAAATCAAAGTTGTTTATGAGAACTTTCTATTTATGCCTTTATTGACTCGGCTAATGATGTATGTATATTAAACATTGATTAAAACTATTTCAATTCTGATGTTTCACATCAATTTAATTTTATAATGGTACTTTAATAACTAACATCATTTGTTTTACAACAAACTATAAACAATTAAATTAGTTACAAATTGAGAAAACTTGTACATCATTAATAATATTCATAAAATATGCACAATAGAATTAAATATGCATTTTTAAATATTAATATATACACAGCATAACAAATTCTATAATGGATATAGTTTAACAAAGTGTACATAGCACAAACTGTAATGTAATTTTTGCACTTTATAAATTATATCTATTATTTCACCAAAGTCTATGAAGATGAAGATTCCTGGACAGAACTGATCTAACGTCTTGCGTGAAACGCAAAGCATCAAGCACAGGCAGCAATGATAGCAAAGCCGTGTCCATGGGGTCTGAAAACCATGATTTTATAGGTATAGCGTTGTCTGGATAGCCTCTGTAAGCCCCCGGAGAATTGTCTAGTATAAAGACTCTGTTTAGATCATCACAGATCGCAGACAAGTCTTTTGTGTAAGATCCTAAATCAGGCGTACAATGTTGTCTATAATATCTTCTCCTTAAAATACCACGTCCGTTATCCAGTTTATCAGCAACAGCTGCCCCATAAATCTCCATACTGGCTGTAAAAACAACCAGGTCGTACCATTGGGACACAATGTCCAAAAAAAAGTCCACGTGTGGTCTTTTATGAACAAAAAACCTCACAGGATGCTTGTCTATTGTAACTTTGAGTATAAAATCAGGCGGGGTACCAGGTTTAACAGTCGACCTCTGCATTGCATCATGGTGCGAATGGATTAAGGTTTCATCTAAATCTAACACTAATGTTTTACGCTTAACAATACTTAATCTGTGTCTGGAGATAGGAGATAAGGGGTATATCTCGTATTTTACTGGCTGATGTTGCACCCAGGCTCTGACTTGTTTTTTGAACATAAAACACAAACATGTCCATACTTTGGAAACTACAACGTAAAACGCACGCAAGCCCATTTGCAATTGTTTAAGCATTTGGGTAAATTTGATAATAGAAATATGGTAATAGAAATTGAACTGAATTTCTATTTTGAGAAGTTGGATAGTGGAAACAGCTCTTTCATATTCAAAATTCTGGATTGACTTGATAAAGCAGTCTCGTTTGAGTCTTCAGAGTTCAATATTTTGAAAATCTGAAATAAACAAAAACTTATTTACTAAACTTTTCAAACCGGAATTAATATTTGTTATTCATTATAGCAGAGGAAATAAATTTTTGTCCAGGACGCGTTAGGCATAACTAGTGGTGTATGGCATTATGCCTTAAGGCAAATTGCTGGAACTTGCCGTACAATAAGGACATGTTCGAGGAATATTAAATGTTTTCCAATAGATTATTATAAATGCTGTAACTTTCATTATTGTTATTTTATAGACAAAATATAAGAGCTTATAAATTAGATATGAAAAATAATTAAACTAAAAAAAATTAAAAGATTAATCAGGCTAAGTTAGAATAAAGGACCTTATCTCATATTTCTGAGAATTATATAAAATGAATTGCAAAGTTAAAAACTATTTATTTGAAGTATATAAGTGAGCTTAGAACTTTAGCCAGAATTAAAATTAATTATTCTGAATTATTTTTGATATTCAAAAAAATTATATTTTCGAAATTAAGAAAATAAATTAAATTAAAAGAAATTAAAAATTAATTGATTAAAAAAATTGTTTCCCCAACAAGAAAGTTTTTTTAATCATTCAAATTGGTTGCTTAGTTCTCTCAAAAACTGCAATTTTTTGCACATTTAGCTCTGTATCTCCGAAACGGCTCTACCTGTCTTTGCCTGAAACTAATCAGCACAATCTCCCTATCAGTAGGAATCGAATGTTTTTTGAGCCATTCAAATCGGTTGATCCGTGCGCCCAAAAACGTGGACGAAAAAATGTCTCCACACATACACATACATTTTTTCTGAGGTATGCCAAAATGTTTAGAAACTTCTGAAACGTGAAGGTATTCAAAAATTTTCATTTTCGATTTTCGGCCCATTATAATAACTTACCCTACGGGAATAGTGGTGGAGATAAGTGCTAGAATTTATAGTTTTTGAAAAAACGGAGCATCCGATTCGAATGATTCAAAATACATTTTGTTTGTGTTTACAAAGTGATAAAACAATTAGTTTTTGGGGAAGCCAAAAAAAACTTTTTTTTTAATTTCCAAAAAATATATATTTTTTAAATTTCGGAAATAGTTCGGATTTTATTTTAATTCTAGATAAAGCAAAGCAAAATTTTAATTTTGTAATTCAGTTCACATAATTCTTAGAAACATGACATAAGGTCCTTCATTCTAACTTCGCTTGATTAAAATTTTTTTATTCACTTTTCATGTAAACATACATAAAAGTCGTTGTCATCCAATTTATAAATTCTTATATTTTGTCTATAAAATACTAATAATGAAAGTTACAGTATTTATAATAATCTATATGAAAACATTCAAAACTCCTTGAATGTTTAATTACAGTACGAGAAGTCCAAGCAATTTGCCTTAAGGCATTATAATTTACGAATAAAATTAAAAGAATCAAATAAAATGTTACGATTGTACTTTTGAATGCAGTAGCGTGCTAATAATATAATGACTTATTAAAATTAAACTCAACATCGGTAAATATTAATGCTATAAATTAATGTCTCCCAAGAAATATATATAGTCTAAGAAAAGCTTTAAAGGACGTTCATGATGGGTCCTTGTCTGTCGATTGATTATTTTGATATAATTTTAATTATAATAAGATTGATGATATAGAATACTCAAATTACACAATCATTGTTTCATATTTATATATAATATAATTATAATTTATATATATATATATATATAATATATAAATTAATAATTTAAAGTTTTATACAAAAAAATCTATACAAACAATATGTGCAATTAATTATTAGATGCTATCAAAGTATTATGCATAAAGTGTACATATATTTTTTTTTATTCTATTATTAGTAGATTTTTAAGTTATAAAATTATTAGTGTAATGTTATAAATTTACTGTACATAGCCGATGGACGTATATATATAAATAAATAAATAAAGAACACAAGCAGCCCTAGATAATCAATCGCCTATAACAAATCCCTAGTCATTTTAGTAGACCAAAATTTTTTCCAGAGCTTGATAACCCATCAATTTTAATGTTTTTTGTGAACGTCTTTCATTGAATGTTGTTCAAGAGTTGTCTGAGCATATTGAAAAGCATAAATTTATCCGCTACAACATTTTCAAAACAATTCTAAGATATTGGAGATGGAAAGGTTACCATCAATAAAACTAGATGTATCAAATTGTATAAATCTTTCTCTATGTGCACACACAGTACATAGTTTATGAATAGTTTGCGGAAAGAGTAAAAATATTAAAATCTGAAGATACAAGATTGAAGAAAACTAAGTACTAAGTAAGTTTTTGAAATCTCACTCGATTCTCTAGGCATGTCTCAGCATAATTTATAAATGAATGTTTGGATTAAAAAAAATGAACAAGTGCCGTAACAATATATTGAAACCTTGAAGCTTCAAATGTGTTGAATCAATTTAAACGACATCAGTTTTAGATTAGGCTGGCACTTGCAATGACTATTAATATGTCCCAGGAATATTTATATATGGCATTAAAAAAGTGAACAAGTGCTGTAACAAAATTAAAACTTTGAAGGTCCGAATGTGACAAATCAATTTAAACGCATTAGTTTAAGTTTCAGATTAGGCTGTAACTTGCAATATGTCCCAGGAATATTTATATGTGGCATGCTTTGCAGTAGGTAAACCATACACAAAATTTGTGTTAGCTGCTTCTTTCATATTTATACAACACACTCTACATGCACAAATAAAAATTTTCTGGAAATATTTTGTATAGCATAATATAGACTTATATTTGTTAAGTTTTACTTCTTACTGTAAAGGAAAGCAATTGGCATTATGACAAAATTCATTGACAGTTGATATTTTTCAAAGCAATTGATATTGGTTCAATATTTAATTTTCACACAGCAATAAATTAAAATATCAATATGATTAGCGTTAAATGTGTCATTTATCATTTATTACTTACATTAATCTATATGCCTAATTTTTGTTACCACCATCATCTTTTTGTACTAATCTTGATAAAACTTTTGACTTATGATGTCAATTTATTATCACAATATTAAACCTCGTTATCATCGCTCAAAAGGTTTTAAGATGTAATTAGCACTCGAGATATGCCATTTATCACCATCAAAATTTGCCTAATTAAAAATCAGGTTGATCGACTTGGTTAGATTGATTTATTACACAAAATGAAAACAAAATCGATAAACTACAACTGACAAGATTGACGACGAATGTAAGATGGAGAGGAAATTAAAGTTGGTTTTATTTATTTCACTTAAAAACAATAACATTGATTAGAGACTAGTTGGTGACATTTTATTTAACTTTTCGAATATTGACAATAATCTGACTGCGAAGACGCCAGTCATAGATTGAGGGGTGCCTGAGGCGATTGTAAAGGAACAGTGTTGCCAGATGGGAGGGAAATTTGAAAATTTGAGAATGACAGATTTGAACTCAAAATTTAAAAAAAAAGAAACATAAAATTAGGGAATCGGATTTGTTGATGAAAACATAAACTTCTCTTTCGGAAAGTTAAAAATACAAATTTAATGCATATTTCTATTAAATTTGAATTTGCCGCTGCCGCTAACTGATGTCACGTGACAAATTTTGACATTTCAAAGCACGTTGCCATATTTAAAAGTTAACCTCAAAATACAAGTCGTGTTATTTGAAACCAATAATAATTAATAATAAATAATTTAAAAATATATTTATTAATTTGATTATAAATCTATTTATTACAATGGACGATGATGATGTACCACAATTATCAGCAGAAACATTCAATATTTTACAACAGTTTTATGCAGAGCAGGCTGCTAAGGAAGATATTATATCTAAACAAAACGATGAAAAAATTGAGTTTCAGGAGAATTGGGTAATTTTAGGAATATATTAATATTTTCTATGTTAAGTTTATACATAAAATGTTGCTCTTGTATATATTGGAAGCCTTATCATGATACTTTACAATTGAGCTGTTCAGTGCATACACTGACTAACTCCTAAAATTGATTTCAAAAATTCCTTTTATAATAAAAATTGAAATAAATAATGTAGATTAGATTCTATATATAAATATATAGTAATTAGTATTGACAATTTTGTTAAGGCATATATATGTGATTAATTCATCCTCAGCAATGTTACATGTCTTCTTTGTCATATGCTTGGGAGGGTTTGTCATTTCAATTTGTTGTTAAGTTTTTGTAGTAATTATGTTTAAAGTAAAAAATGAATTTTTGCTGGTTCATCAAGTATAGATGTTACTACAAACAGTTATTATTATACCTAGTACTATCACATTAAAATCTAAGTTTTTTTTTAAATGTGGAGTAAGTAATTGTGTGCAATTTATACACCAGGATGACAAATAGTGTACAATGCATTTAGCGAATACCTGAATTGTATTATTAAGTATTTAAAATATCTAGGACAATACTAGGAATATAATCTTATTTTAAAAATTTATCAGGTAGAAAGCATCATTACCTCTATAATTTTAAATTTTAGCAATTAAGCCAGTTTTGGTATGACGATAACACAATACAGAGTTTAGTTAACATCATAATAAACTCAGTAGATGAAGGAGCAAACGTGGCTCTAATATCATGCCCTTCATTATATAAACACTTAAAAGAAAATTGTTCACAAAAGGATATGAAAGGTACATCACCCAACAACAAATGCATGCATTGCACAAAAAATTATAATAATAATTCCTTTACCTTTTAGTAAAATTATTGGAATATGATAAAAGATTTGCTGTTCATGAAGACTTTGTGTTCTATGATTACAATGAACCTTTAAATCTGCCTAAAGAGCTAGAAAAATATTTTGACTTGGTAATAATGGATCCACCATTTTTAGCAGAAGAGTGTTTAACAAAAGCTTCTAAAACTGCAAAACATTTATCAAAAAACAAAATAATCTTATGCACCGGTGCTACAATGGAGGAGTTGGCGAATAAAGAACTTGGGGTTAAAAGAACTAGTTTTGTACCGCATCATAAGAATAATTTGGGAAATGAATTTTGTTGTTACAGTAATTATGAGTTGCCTAATAAATTTTAGTATACAGATATTGATACAGGGGTTTTATTTTTTGTTAAAATTTGAATTTAAATATTCTGATTGACTGTTTATGAAATTATATTGAAGAAAATATAAATTCAAATACATTTGGGAAATGATTTAGCTAATTTTCAAATTTCATTCAATTTGTTGGTGCTGGTACCTAAATGTTCTGGCTAGTCTAAATATATTCAGTCTAGTTAAAATATGTTCTAGATAGTCTGGAAACGTTTTGGCTAGTCAAAAAATGTTCTGGCTAGTCTGAAAATGCTTTGGCTAGTCGGAAAATGTTGTTGATAGTTTGAAAATGTCCTGGATACTTGAAAATATTTTGGCTAGTCTGAAAATATTTTGGCTAGTTTTAAAATGTTCTGGATAGTTAGAAAATGTTATGGCTAGTAGGCAAATGTTTTGGCTAGTCTGAAAATGCTTTGGGTAATCTAAGAATGTTCTGATAAGTTAAAAAATGTCCTAGATAGTCTGAAATGCTGTTGGCTAATAAGAAAATAATGTTCTAGCTAGTCTGAGAATGTCCTCGTTAGTTTAAAAATGTCCTAGATGGTCTGAAATGCTTTTGGCTAGTAGGAAAATGTTCTGACTAGTAGAAAAATGTTGTGGTTAGTAGGAAAATATTCTGGGTAGTCTGAAAATGTTTTGGCTAGTTAGAAATTGTTTTGGCCAGTTAGTAAATGCTGCGGCTAGTTAGAAAATGTCCTGGCTGTGTTGTCTGAAGATGCTTTTGGCTAGTAGGAAAATGTTCTGGCTAGCCTGAAGATATTTTAGCTAGCCTCTAAATGCTTTGGCTAGTAAATAAATGTTCTGGCTAGTGGGAAAATGTAATGGCTAGTCTGAAAATATTTTAGCTCGTTTAGCCAGAACATTAGAAAAATGTACTGGCTAGTCTCATAATGTTCTAGATAATCTGAAAATATTTTGGCTAGTCTGAAAATTCTCTGGCTAATCTGAAAATGTTGTGGCTAACGGAAAAATGTTCTAGCTAGTACTAAAAAATATTTGGCTAGTCTGAAAATGCTCTGGCTTATCTGAAAATATTCTATTATCTGAGAATATTCTGGTTAGTCTAAAAATTTCTTAGATAGTCTGGGAAGATTTGGCTAGTTAGAAAATGATCTGGCTCGTAGGAAAATGTTCTCGCTAGTAGAAATATGTTCCGGCTAATCTAAAAATATTCTAGATAGCCTGAAAATGTTTTGGTTAGTCTCAAAAGGTCCTAGATAGTCTGAAATGCTCTAGCTCGTCAGAAAATGTTTTGGCTAGTTAGACAAAAGATTTTCTCATAATGCTAATTGGATAATATTATTTAAATAATACTTTACATGAACATCAATGCCTTATCAAATGAGAAAAATAAAAGTACACATAAAATTCCATCAATTATAATTAAAGATAGTTATTATTTCAACATTATCCATTTCTGAACATCCGCATTTCTAAATTAAAGTCATTTTTATTTCTTCTCGCTAACTAATAATACGTATACTTCTTATGAAACTTGCAGAACTTCCTATACTGCCAATTGCTATGCACGCCCTTGTCAGTCTTCATACAAGTGCACTCAACTTCCACATTTCCCTTATCTTCTTCCACGTCTTTTAAGGGCTCTAATTTTTCCACCTCCACTCTGGTTTGTTCCTTGTTCTGGTTTGAAGCAGTGCGAGCAGCTCTGGGGGCTGCTTTTACGTTATGTGAGGCACTTTCAAGGGGGCGACGGAATAAAACATCACAAACCTCATCAGAATCGTTGGTAGAGGCTACTTTGGTGGTGGGTTGGTCACTGGCTGGACGTTTTACTTCAGAAACACTTCGAGCAGTGGTTGGACCTAGTTCTCTGCTAGATTTGTGGTGAATTTTAGGTTTGATTTCTAGGCCCGCAGGAAGGCGTTCTGAAGGTTTGTTATTCGCGTTTAAGACTTCGCGAATATGTAATTTTTGGTCGTCATCTTCATCTTTTCCACGAGTCCTGTAAGAGGAATAAGTTTAAATTAACTAACTAGCACTTGGGTAATAAAATATTTTTGAACTAGTACCTCTTTGATTTATCTTCATCAGGTTTTTCCTTGCTGGATCTATAGATAACTCTAGGCTTTTCAGCAACCATCTCATTTTCCTTCAAATTTTTGGTTGACCTAGGGACTGGTTTCAAGTCATGATCACGCGGTAAAATCACTTTATCCTCCGAGGTAGATTTAGCTCTAAATAAGGTTCTTCGTTTTGTATCTATATCCAAAGAGCGTTTAGGTGAAGACACTTTTCTGTAATTAAACAAAGAAATAAACCAACTAATAATACCAGATTATTGGGCAATTCTGCTTCGTAGCATTGCGTTGTCATGAAAACTGTGAAAATATCTATCTATTTGCTGTGCGATCAGGCGTATTTTACATACAAACAAGCAAGGAAGAATGTTATGATAACAGAATCTTTGATGATGCAGCTTGCTTGCTTTTGTTTGTATGTAAAATACGACTAGCAAATACATAGACAACGCTATGCTACGAGGCAGAATTTCTCCATATATTTTATAAGTTTATTTATTACACCAACCTGTGTTCTTCAAGAGAACTTCCACTAATTGCCAAGTGTAGTTTACCTTTGCTCATACCACGGTTTTTAGAAAGTTTTGCAACAACCTTATCTTTAGCTGTTTTGTAAATTGTTTTCTTAGATTCTCGCATTTTCGGAACATCGTCAGTGGATTCTGTTGTCGATGGAAGATTAGATGTTTTCTTAAAAGCACCTTTTCGCTTAGGCGAGGCTGTTCTGCTCGTGTCAGTACTTGAATACTCTCCTGATTCCTTTGGAGACATTGTAGTCGGTTGCGAGCTCAACTGACTCGATGTGCAAGCAATTTCTGTTAATTTTCTTTCCTTGTCCTCAATTTCAGACTTTGAAGGCTCAGTGGATGAAATCGGTTTTAGACATACGATACACGATGGCGATTTATTGGCGTTCATCTCGCCGCTTGATTGGGTCTTTGGCGCCAAAATTTTAACATCCATGTCATCTTTACATTTTGATCTTTCGTTAACCACTTGCTGTATCTTTCTACCTGCATTGCTAGCAGACGTTTGTCTGACCACAGGATTTTCTTGAATCGTAAGATGTTTCTTTTCAGTTATTCTCCGTGGTGAGGCCGTTTTGGCCACCGCTCGATCTTGAATAATCATTTGAGTTGCTATGATTTGCTCCGAGCATCGAGAAGTATCATTGTCATTG